GTTTTTGGTAACTTTGATGTATTGCTATAAGGCCGCTTATCTTTGTATTGGAACATGACTGTTATCAACATTTGGTGGCTCCTAAAAGAGCCGTTTTGAGTTTGTTATTAAGCTGGGAGCTTAATGTTGTTTCTTCTCCGCCTTCTTGGGTAGAAGCACTGCTTGTATGTTGGGAAGAACTCCACCCTGAGCGATAGTCACACCAGCAAGAAGTTTGTTTAACTCTTCATCGTTTCGAACGGCTAACTGCAGGTGACGAGGGATGATCCTGGTTTTCTTGTTGTCCCGAGCAGCATTTCCAGCTAACTCGAGAATCTCAGCACTCAGATACTCCAGTACGGCAGCCAAGTAGACTGGAGCACCTGCGCCGACACGCTCGCCGTAGTTGCCTTTGCGAAGGAGACGATGGATACGACCAACAGGAAACTGAAGTCCTGCCCGGGATGAACGGCTCTTAGACTTGGTGCCCGGAGCTTTGCCTTTTCCTCGACCTGTCATTTTCACTTTCTGAATGTTCTCTTTGCTTGTTATCTCTGGCAAAGTTGAGTTGAACGATTTTGTTCTAGTCTAGTCAGCCCGAAACTATGACCCGGATTTTTATTTGATTTTTCTTCAAATCAGAGGATCAAAGCGCACCAATCAAAACCGCGCCGTACTCCGAACAAAAGATAATTAGCAGGCAAAATGCGCTGTCGGTAGCGTCGGCCTATGGGTAGTTGTCAGTTAATGAAATAACCAATCGGCGAAAGGCAATTTCGATCCGCATACTAATTAATCCTCCTGGATAATTTGTAATAAATAGCAGTTAAGTTACCGTGGCATGTTCAAAGCTGATCTCATCGGATCATCTAGAATTCCAAACAATTTTTCAGAGAAGCCAGATAAACATGGCACCGAAAGTTCCAGCAGCAAAGAAAGGCGAGAAGCGAGCGGGAAAAACTAAGTCGGCGGCAGTTGATGGTTCGGCCAAGAAAAAGAGGAAGGGAAAGAGAAAGGAGAGCTATGCGATCTACATCTACAAGGTCCTTAAGCAAGTTCATCCCGATACGGGTATTTCTAGCAAGGCCATGGGCATCATGAATTCGTTTGTGAATGATATCTTCGAGCGTATCGCCAATGAGTCTTCCCGCCTGGCGCACTACA